GCTTGAACCCGATTTGCTTGAACCGGAAAGGCAGAGGTTGCAGTGAGCCAAGATCTTGCCATTGCACTCCAGTCTGGGCAACAAGAGCGAAACTCCATCTCAGAAAAATAAAAATTAAAAAAAAAAAATTATGCCTTCCGGGGAAATTACTAAAATGGATAGAATCTATAGGTTTCATTTTTGATGACTGGCATCTGCAACTTAGCTGAGGTTGGGTCGTTTTATTTCCAATTTCAGTTGCATTTAGCAGGCAAGGGGGAGAGGTGATCCTTTACTCCTTGTTATTGAAATCGTTCCGAAGTGGGATAGTAGAGGACAGAACTGGAAAAACAGGAAGGAGCCCAAGTGTGAAGGAAACAAAAAAGGTGGCACTAACAGGGACAGAAGCAAGGCCCAGGGTGTCATGTCCCAAGCAGCAGGTGGCTAGTCCTGTGCTGTTCTTTTCTCAAGCATAGAGAATCCAATCTGGTGGAAACGAGTTGGAGATGCAGTTTCAAGAGAAAACTTGCCGAGTGTCTTGATGTTAGATACTGAGGCAGATCACTACAATCATTATATCAAAAGTTCAGGCAAGGAATCTGAATAGATAGAAAAGCCAAGAGACCTAGACAGGAGGTCAGGTGGGACTGTAGCCACCACCCAATACTGTCCCTGAAGCATTCAGGGAATTGGATCTCACTTGAGGAGAAGTAACTGTCAGTTCAAACTCTACTAGTTTTGTGGGGAAGCACATTATAGAGAGGGGCAGGGTGGCTTCTGGGCAGTTAGATGCTGTTTCAAACAAGTAGGTGACACTGCCTGGACTAAAAAAGTGACTCTTTCTGGTGCTGAAGTCTTTGGGGGCACTCAGGCTGAGTCAGAAAGGCCCTACCCTTAAAGCTACCCATCCAGAACACCCTGATGAAATGGAAGACCTCAAATCCCAGGAAGACTTGAGAGGCTTTTCCTCTAAAAAGTGGTGCACTGATTGATTGATTGATTGATTGATTGATTGATTGAAATAGGGTCTCACTCTGTCACCCAGGCTGGAGTACAGTGGCATAATCATAGCTCATTGCAGCCTTGATATCCTCAGTTTAAGTGATCTTCCTGCCTCCCAAGTAAGTGGGATCACAGATGTGTGCCACCACACCTGGCTAATTTTTTTAATTTAAAAAAGTTTTTGTAGAGACGAGGTCTCACTATGTTGCCCAGGTTGGTCTTGAACTCCTGAGCTCAGGTGATCCTTCTGCCTCAGCCTCCCAAAGTACTAGGATTACAGGCATGAACCACTGCACCCATTTGTTTGGGCCAACTTTTCCCATTTGGAATGGGTGTATTTACCCAATGCTTGTACCCCCATTGTATTTAGGAAGTAACTAACTTGCTTTTGATTTTACAGGCTCTTAGGTGCTCTTAGGTGCGTTGTCTCAGATGAGACTTTGGACTGTGGACTTTTGTGTTAATGCTGAAATGAGTTGACTTTGAGGGACCATTGGGAAGGCTTGGTTGGTTTTGAAATGTGAGGACATGAGATTTGGAAGGGGCTAGGGGTGGAATGATATGGTTTGACTGTGTCCCCACCCAAATCTCACCTCGAATTGTAATAATCCCCACACGTCAAAGGTGGGACCAGGTAGGGATAATTAAATCATGAAGGTCATTTCCCTCACACTGTTCTCGTGACAATGAATAAGTCTCATGATATCTGATGGTTTTATAAATGGGAGTTGCCCTGCACATGCTCTCTTGCCTGCTGCCATGTAAGACATGCCTTTGCTCCTCCTTTGTCTTCCACCATGAATGTGAGGCCTCCCCAGCCATGTGGAGCTGTGAGTCCATTAAGCTTTTTTTTCTTTATAAACTACCTAGTTTCAGGTAGGTCTTTGTTACAGCATGAGAACAGACTAATACACTGCTATAACAAATTACCGTAGACTGGATGGCTTATAAACAATGGAAATTTATTTCTCACAATTCTGGAGGCTGTGGGAAATAAATCAGGGTGCCAGCATGGTCAGGTTCTGGGGAGGGCCCTCTTGCAGGTTGCAGGTTGCTTTCTTCCTATTTTATCTCACATGAAGCAAAGACAGTGAGAAAGCTCTCTGGGGTTCCTTTTGTAAGGACACCAATCCCATTCATGAGGACTCTACCCTCATGACCTAATTACCTCCTGAAGACCTTACCTCCTAATACTATCATAGTGGGGGTTAGGATTTCAGCATATGAATTTTGGGAGGACACAGACATTTAGTCCATTGCAAACCCCTTTGAGTCAGTAACTGTCCAGTTGTGAGAAATTAAAAGAGAACAATCATGTGTCTCTAGGGGCAAAACTCAGGTGAGAGGGGAAATTTGGTGTGGCTCTGGAATCCTACATCAGCAAAGTGGCTCCATCTATACCTCAGCCCTTTCTATTCATTCTTATTTAACTTTATAACAGTAGTTCATTTTATTTTTTTCATTTTAAAGATGAGGAAACAGGGTCAGAGAGAGGCCAAATACCCTGCCCTAAGTCCCACAGGCAGCAGGCGAAGCTAGAATTGAACCCAAGTGGTCTAGCTCCAGCAGCTGAGCTGCTTGTCACTGAGCTATGCCGTCTCTCTGTATCTTCATCCTCCTGTCCTTACCAGTAGAGTGGATCCTTCTTGTCTACATTTAAACACGCCTCATCTTGCCATCTTAAATGCAGCCCTCCCTTGACCAGATATCTGCCTGCTGCTACTTCCCCCTCTCTGCCTTTTACCGACACAGATTTGAAGGAGCTGACCACTTGTATTATCTGTTTCCTTACCTCTCCCACAGTGCTCACCTCACTCCAGGCTGATTTCACCTCCCACCATTCAGCCACATCCACTGCTGCTAAGGTCACCATAACATCTCTGGTGCTGAATCCGATGGAGATTTTTTGGTCATCATGTTGTACATCTCCTCTTGGCAGTTTCCAGTATTGTGATTTCCTGTCTCCTTGAGACTGTCTCATCTCTTAGCTTGGATAACTCTCAGTTTTCATCCTACCTCTTTAGTCTTCCTCCTTAACTCTTCTGCTTGGCTAATATTCTTCTATGAAACCTTTACATATTGCAGTGACTCATGCCTCATCCCTGATCTCCCTTCTCTTCTAAATCTACCCCTTTTCCCTAAATAAGCTTATCTCCACCCATGACCACATTTACCATGTACACCCTGAGGATCCAAGTGTGTACCTCTAGATGACATCAGGACCCTTTGGTATAAGTTTCAGAGCCTCTGCTACTTGTCTTTTACAGAGCTTTTTATGCATGTGATTATTTAATTATGTAAATAGTTGTTTAAGGCCAGCCCATCTGATAGAATGTTAAGCTCCATGTGGGCAGAGGCTGCCCCAGTGTGGCTGTCTGCCCTGCTCCCAGCACCCAGCACCATCTCTTGCCTCTAAGCGGGGCTCAAATAAATGAATTAATGACTTACCATCTTCAGAATGTTCAACCCCATCTCTTTTATTGTTTGTTACATACAATTTTATCTGAGATGTTTAGAATGCTAACAAAAGAAAAAGTAGTTTATGCTAATGTGGTCTGTGTGACTACTGTATTACCAGTATCAAAAATAAGTGAGTTTTTTGGATATTTCTTTATATTATGTTAAGTTCTGGGATACATGTGCAGACCGTGCAGGTTTGTTACATACGTATACATGTGCCATGGTGGTTTGCTGCACCTATCAACCCATCATCTAGGTTTTAAGCCCCACATCTATTAGGTATTTGTCCCAATGCTCTCCCTCCCCTTGCCCCCCATCCCCTGACAGGCCCCAGTGTGTGATGTTCCCCTCACTGTATTCATGTGTTCTCATTATTCAATTCCCACTTATGAGTCAGAACATGTGGTGTTTTGTTTTCTGTTCCTGTGTTAGTTTGCTGAGAATGATGGCTTCCAACTTCATTCATGTCCCTGCTAAAAAGAAGTGATTTTACACAAAAAGATGCTCAACATCAGGGATATGCAAAACAAAACCACAATGAAGTACTACTTCACACTCACTAAGATGGCTATAGCTAAAAAGACAGTAACAAGTATTGGGAAGAATGCAGAGAAACTGGAACTCTCATACCCTATTGGAGGAAATGGAAAATGGTGCATCTGCTTTGGGAAGACAGTGTGGAAGTTCCTCAATATGTTAAACATGGAGTTGCCTTATGACCCAGCAATTCCACTTCAGTTCCACCAAAGAGAAATGAAGACATAGGTCCGCACACAAACTTGTACACATATGTTTGTATCAGCATTATTTGTAATAGTTAAAAAGTAGAAACAATCCAAGCATTCAGCCACTGATAAATGGATAATTAAAATGTAGTGTGTCCTTACAATGGAATATTACTTAGTGATAAAAATAAATGAATTATATATGCTACAACATGGATGAATCTTGAAAGCATTACGTTAAAGGAAAGCAGCCAGTCACAAAGGACCGTGTATATATTATGTGATTCTATTTGTATGAAATATAGAATAGGCAAAACAGGCAAATCTGTAAAGAAAGTAGAGTCATGATTTTCTAGAATCAGTGGAGTTTGGGGAAATGGGGGGTGACTGCTGATGGGCATGTGGTTTCTTTTGGGGTGATGAACACGATCTAGAATTCATTGTGGTGTTCTTACACGTCTCTGTGAACATACTAAACACCACTGAATGGTACACTTCAAGTGGGTGAATTGTATGGTATGTGAACTGTATCTCAAAAAAGTTGTTTTTTAAAAAGGAAAGGAAATGGTTTACTTTTGAGGGTAAATTGAAAGCTCCCCACCCAGATATTATTAACTACAGTTAATATTAACAGCAGTACAGAGCACTGACCCTGCCATCTGCGTGTATCTTCATTCTGATATTCCTCTATCCATCATGTATCCCTTGATTTTGCTCCTTTTTTTTTTTAACTGATAGAGTTGATAATTTTATTTTCACATTTCACAATACAAATGAAAACTGCACTTTTTCTGGTCCCACTTCTCCCCTTCAATACTATTCTCTTTTTGATAGGAAGGAGGAGCAAGTCTTCTTTGTCATGCTGTTAAGAAAACACCCAGAGTCACAGCACCATGATCTCCCAGTGAAGCAGAACAAGTAATATAAAACTGATCTAAAGAGGCTTGCCTCTATTCTTATCTGTCTGGTCAAGTCATTTGGGGCCAAGTGGGCACCATTGTGGGAGGGTGGGAGGACTCATCACTGGCGGCCCAGGCATCATTGGCATGTGGCCTCCTGTATTAGTCTGTTCCCATGCTGCAGATAAACACATACTTGAGACTGGATAATTTATAAAGGAAAAAGGTTTAATGGACTCACAGTTTCATATGGCTACGGAGGCCTCATAATCATGGTGGAAGGCAAAGGAAGAGCAAAGGCATGTCTTACATGGCAGCAGGCAAGAGAGCGTGTGTGGGGGAACTCCCCTTTACAAAACTGTCAGATCTCGTGAGTCTTATTCACTATCACGAGAACAGCCTGAGAAAAACCCACCCCCCATGATTCAATTACCTCCCACCGGGTCCCTCCCACCTCATGTGAAGATTATTACAACTCGAGGTGAGATCTGAGTGGGGACACAGAACCATATCACCTCCCATGGGCAGCCTCATTCCAGGAGCACATCCCATTGGCATCATCCAGGAGGAGGGGGGCCCATCATTGGCATCATGGGAGGGCCTCCCTGACGGGCTGCTGGCATCATACCTGGTGAAGAACAGAAAGAGCCCGGGTGGGAGAGGTTGGATCATCGCCCCTGCAGGAAGAGGAGCAGAGAACAGAGTTGGAGGTGTTCTTCCTTGTTGAGATGCAGTCTTTGTTCTGTCAGCCAGGCTCCGAGCCTGCTGTTCCATCCATTTCTGGTAGTAGTCTTTCACATTCTCTTTGTGTTTCCTCCCACTGCAATGGTAGGTTCCCACAGATGGACAGGCATGGGTGAGGTATGTGTTGCAGAAGTCACAACAAAACTTAGGCATGTTGCTCTGTAGCCCATTAATCACTCTGTTCCCTGATTTTGCTTTGTTTTGATGTGACATTGAAGCACTGCACATGCACAGAGCAGTTGATAGTTCTCCCCTCTTTGGATTGTTGGATGAAATTTTTTAGAATTTTATTTTTTATTGATACATAATAGATATACATATTTTGGGGGTACATGTGATAATTTAATACATTTATATAACTTGTTAAGAACAAAGCAGTGTAATTGGGACAGCCACCACCTTAATTAAATACTTGTCCTTCCTTTTTGCTGGAAGCATTTGAATTATGCTCTTAGCTATTTTGAAATATACAATAGGCTATTCTAAACTATAATCACCCTACTGATCTATGAAACACTACATCTTATTTCTTCTATTGGGTTAAATGATTTAATGTCTGCAATGCCCTTAGCATTGTGCCTGGCACATGGTAAATAAATATTAGCTGTTGTTATTCCGACCCAAAACAAGAACATTTTCTATTGTTACAGAAAAAATAGGACCATTGATTATGTTTCACCATTTAAGTGGCTATTGTTTGCGTGCTTTTGACAGTTCTATCCCATGTCCAATACATTTCCTTTCCCCCAGAGCTCCCTCCCCTCCACCTTCAACCTATTACAACAGGGTGTAATAATATGGACAAACACTAGAGGGCAGCATGCAACTGCAATGAAGAAAATCGGCATCAGCACACTTGAAACTCAGACAAGAAGACAGAAGATGTCTAGTATCAAAGGAAAGTGAAATGTCTTCCTTTAATATAGTGTCTTTGTAGTATTCTTCTATAGGAGGAAAGTATTATTACTCTGTCGGATGAGTATTCCTACTGGAAGGATAGCTGCGACATTTAAAAAATCCTGCCT